AAAAAGATTAAAAAAATTAATATTTTTAATAGTAATTTTAAAATCTGAATCTATATTTATTTTATAGTTATATATATATATTAAAATTATTATTAATATATAGCAAGTCAGTCAATGTCACCTTGCTTCTCCTTGCTCCATTACCCCAACCCAGCATTTTCCTTGACTCTTTCTCCTCTCTCTTCATTACTCTCCCTTCCCATTGGGTTCTCTCTCTCCCCCCACAACTCATGTCTCTCAATTTCTATAACAACCTAACTTCTCTCATTAATTAGCTCAATACATGTTTTATCCTTTCCTTCACTTCTATCTCTAATTCCCCTTCATTCTCTCTACTTTCCCATAAAAATAGGGCCATAATTTATTAAGATTTGGTTTCGAATTCAAACAATATTTATATCTATAGACGTGAATTCAAGCAAAGAGAAGGGAATAAGGGGAATTCAGTGTTTCTTATATATTCATGGCATCTTCCACTATTGTTAAATAATCTAATGTTAAATAATCCGTTAGTTATGAAAATTATTAAAAATTTTTGTAAAATATTCTATTGAAAATTATGAAATAATTATTTTAGAAATAATCTACTATTTAAAAAATATTAAATAATTTAATAATCTACCAAAAAATAATAAACAATCCATTATTTAATAATTTTTGTTTATTAATAAATGTTCAAAATTTCAATGTTTAGCGTAATTTACATTAACCATTGTAATTTAATAAAAAATCATTAATTTTTTACAATAATAGTTTATTGATGAAAGATATTACAAATTTGTGTAATTTAAGAGTTTCTATAAAATCAATAATTATAGTTAACAATTATCAAATAATTTAGGGGAACTCTTTAACTAATAATCCATATTTTTTTAAATAAGTAATTAAAAAATTAAGAAATTAATCTATGAAAAAATAACCTCCAAAACTATTTAAGTAATAATATATTATTATTGTTCAACAAATAATTTTTAAAATGTTTAGGAAATTAATCTATAAGAAATTGTTCCATAATTATTTAAATAGCAATCCATTACTATTATTTCAATAAATAATTATTAAATAATTTAGAAAAATTATTAAGTCTATCCAC